CAGCAGGGATGGGCAGAGCAGCATATGGGATATGGGCTGTAGGCAGCCTTAGTGGCATACAAGGGCTGCTCATTTTAGGGCACCTAAATCCAGATTTACTCACCTGGACTGAGAGGGAGAACTATCAGCAACCTGATTTACATGTTAAAACTACAGAGGCCAAGCTGATCACAAACAGCAGCACCATAAAGTGAAACTATCCAGACCTGTCAACACTGTGTAGGAAAAAAAAAAACCCACATACACAAAACCAGCCAGGAAAAATATTCCCTAATATTATCTGTCCAGAACCCTTGACTTATTAATGTAATTTAGCAAACATTTCAAGCTGTTTACAACAGCTTTACTCTAGCAGCAGCTACCAAAATCACAGAAAAAAAAAATCATGTTTTATAAAACTCCTTAAATTATAAAGCTTTTAGTTCCTTGTCATTGAAAGTAATTCTTCACCTCATTATAATGTGCATATTATTTCAGCATTTAACATCATTAAAATAACAAGTGCTGTTTTTAAGAAGGTTAGAGACTAAAGGATGGTACTTAAAACATAATTCAAACTACTACATTATACATATCACCATGAATCTGCAAACATGTTCAGTTTTATTAAGAAAAAAATCTTGCATGCTTCCTTCATACTGTCAAATTACTCATCTCTTGGACAAATTAATGAAATTTAAAAAACAGCATGAAATTTCTTATCATAGAAGCAAACTGATTCTGTTCCTCACAAAACAGTGAGAGCCATTTATTTAAGAGGTTTAATGTTTGACCAGCAAGGCAGTCTAACACTAAAAATCTGCCACTAGTCTTTCAACTAAGTGACAAAGTCAAGAACACCAAGATCTCCAGAAGATATGCTGACATCCACAGAAACAGAAAATATTTTATTTTCCTGACTAAAAAGTTACTGCAATCACACAGAAATGGCAAAGGCAAGACAGAAAGAGCTCTTTAAGATCTTTACTACTCAGAATTAATCAAAGCAAAACAGCCATCCTAGTGATAATCCCCTTTAGTGCTTCACAGTTTATGCAATAGTCAATTACTAAAGAGGATGAAAGACAGAACAATCTTTGCAAATAGGTCACTGTCTATATTTATAATGATTAAAACCAACCTGTTGCTAAAAGTAACTTTTAATAAGCATAAAAAGTAACATTTAGACAGTACATTTACTCTTAAATACATTCTATGTCTCCTATGACAAAAGAGGTAACATGCTAAAAAGTAACATTTAGACAGTGCCATGTATTTACTCTTAAATACATTCTATGTCTCCTATGACAAAAGAGGTAACATGCATCAAAAACAAAGTTATTTCCCATAGGTTATCCATTAGCATTGCCAAAAGCAGATTTTAATTGCTGTCTGCAATTTTATCATAAAGTATCATCCTCAAAGATATCACCTAAACATTCTTGACATGATCTCTGATTTATCCAACTCTCTCCCTGTCTGCACACCTTCTCTCTCAGAACCTGGTAGGAAAGCAAGCACTGCCCAGGGTGCTTTTTAAAAACTTTTAAAGACTTTTAATGTCTTCTTTTCCTTCAGCTTTTCCTGCCTGTTTAGGCATGCCTGAACGTGTGCTTTTTTTTTTTTTTTTTTACTTCAGAACAATTACCCAGGTCTCTGCTTCTAATGCATACTGCTCAGACATCCCATCTGCTTCTTTCAAGTACTGTCCATATCTGTTAAAGAATCACTCTTTCAGAACTCTCCTTCCCCACATCCTTGGCCTTCCTGAGGAATATTTTTGCCCTTTCCTTGGGATCAGGACATGACACCTGACACCATTTTCCTAAAATTGTATTGAACTTCATTGATTCTCACAGCTTTGAGTGCCACCATTGTCGCAGTGATTCTTACACCCAGCTGTGCATTCACTCAAACCATTTCATTCAGTTCCAATTCGACCTGCAGTTACTGTCAACACCAGAGATTTAAATCTGGTTAAACTGGAGCTTGTTTCCTCTCAAGCCCTACTTCCTCTCATTACCTCCAGCCCCCCACAGTTCAAGTCCATAAACTAATGTATGGTTCTTACAATGCCTTATCCACCAGAGTGGCAATGAACAGTTGTCATTTCTTTGTATAAAATGTCAAGAATGTTCATTATCCAGTCCTGATGTTTCTCTCGACCAAACCCCTTGCTACATCTTCATTAGCAAATACTTCTGCTCACACTGCCAACCCTCTGTCCTCCACATATTTAATCTACTAAAAAATCCTTCCTTTTTGCATTACTTTGGAGGCTCTGGATCTTCCAGTATTTCTACAGCCAGCAAGCCTATGACTTCAAGACTGTACAGTTGCAGAACCAGCACTTCATTACTGGAAAGGAGGAGGAGGAAAATCTTCAGGGAATAATGTAACCACTTAGAAAGATCTCACAAGAGAAGCATTCCTCTGTATCTCATATATTTGTACTCAAGGACAGTGAAAACACACTGAAGGTCGGGCTAAAGCTGAATGCTATCACCTCAACACCACCAAAAATTACTTACATGAGGGCAATATTAAGGTAATTCTATCTTCTAATCTTACAAATTTAAGAGAAAACACCTGTAGCTTAGAGTTTATTATAATGCAGACTGCATAAACTGAACTCCACAGCAGGCAGGGGAGGGAGAAGCAGTCAGTCTTGTGAAGTGAAATCCTGTTTGTGCGTGAAAGCCAGGAACTTGATGTTCTCACTACAGACTAAGAGCAATAAAAACAGCTTTCTGAGCCATTAATTTCTACACAGCTGATTTCTACTAAACAATGCTCATTATTGAAAGAATTCTAAAAAAACTGCCAAGCTGTTCCAGTGAGAAGGCTGGCACTCTGAACATCCAGACTGAGCTAACGGTGACATCAGTTCTACCACTGCTTTAATCCCCACGGCTACTAAATGTCAAACATTTTCATTGTATTTAAAGAGCTTGCAATTATGCACCATGAGATTAAGTTACAAAATAAGGCAAACTGCAAAGCACAGCAAGCATCTGCACTCTTGTTGCCCAAGATTCTCATAATGGCAAGTGAAACTGCCAAGCATTTTCCACAGCCAAAATGTAGCATTTTTAGCATTTGTTATTCTTAAACACTGTGAAAGCCACACCCCCTTCAGACCTCCCATAACAGCGTTTACAATACATGCATTGCTGCCCCACTCAAATACAAATTTATAAATCAGTTGTAGCGTTGAATAAAGTATAGTGGGAAGAGGGGAGAACAGTGAAAAGATTAAGTGTCACTGCATCAGGAGGCACAAAGTCCAGTGGAAACTGAGCTGCAGGCCATATATTTATTATTGACAAAAGACACCCATGCAATATTAATTCCATCTGCTTTAGAGAAGGAAATGCATCAAATTATAGTCAACACAGAAGAAGGAACTGTTCTACCATGTAATACAAATTTTAATGTGGTAAACTATTTAAAGCAGGATATACTTTCCAAACATTCCTTGGTATTTTCATCATTTGTTTGGCAATTGATTAATATGGCAGTAACATGCCAACACACACTTCTAAAATAAATACCTAGTAATCACTTTATCGTGCCAAGTTCAGAGTAGTTCATATCAACTACACTGAGCTAGGGCAGTGCTGCAAAGAAAGTGCAAGAAAGCTCATGGACTCACACTGCATAAGAAAGACATCACTGAAGAAAATATATTAAATTCAGTAATCCTATTCATTCCATAATATTTGGGGGAGGGGTGATGAAGTTAAAACTAACATTGAATACACACATACTAGAGACATGATGTCCCATAACTACAGAAACTCTGAATATCCAAAATGATGCCAAGAATACAGTAGGATATTGAAAAGCTACAGGTTCTGAGTATTTCAATAAATATATATACACACAGTTCAAGACTCTTAATTCACCTAATCAATATTGTGTCTTTAAGATCTTCCCATACTGACTCGTTCCAGCCTAGTCTTCATTGTTTCTTACCAGCAAAGTACTGATTCACAGCTCTCAATAGGAAAACTTTTCATGTCTAAAGTTAGCATCAAGTTTGATTTGAGATACTCTGGTAAAACAGTTTCATACTACAGATTAAGTTCAAGAGTCGGGAGTTTTTAACAGAATTTAAAATGATTTAATAGGTCCCTAAAGAAAGATGGGGAAGGCGAGTGTGAGGTGGGGGAATTATCTATACACACACATATATAAATATATAACTATGTGTATGCACACATACATCACTGGTTTAAGAGCAAACCTGGATTACAATAGACTAATTAACCGTACTAGAAGTGACCTGATTAAGTCAGAGTTCTAATCTTTTGATGGGGGTGGGGGATGCCTGTTAAAAAAAAAAATTAAGAAGTGAGAGAAACTGCTTTACCAAGGACAAAGGCCGTCAATGCTCAGTTTTAGCCTGAAGTAGGAGTACATCATTCCTGAGATTCTTCCATACTAATTAACAAACTCACATGTTTTGAGTTTTAATCCAGAGTAAAGTTGTGAGAAGCAGAATTGGCAGGGCTAACTCATTAAAACAGTCTACAAATAAAATGATCAAGCCAGAAATTCAACTCCATGTAAGTCTTAAGTGTAATTAAACCCACTAAGACATTAATTTACAGTTCTTATGTTATCTATACACACTTAGGGAAAACTGACAGTAACTTGCACATTTCAACAGGCCAAGTCATGAGGAGTTGCAGCAGTAGGCTCCCTTCCTCTGAAAGAAAATATAACCTGAATTCCGTGTCATATTAAAACAATCTTAATATAGAAACACTGTTGTTCTTTCTTTAAATCACAGAATAATGTAAATGGAATCAATTCCCATAGCACAGAAATTCTGCAAGAACTAAGCACATGAACTGTTTTGATTTTAGTAACAATTTCACGCTGACAGAAGACACTTTTATTTGAACAATTGGAAATTTTTGAAAATAAGTCTCAAAATAAATTTTTGGAAATAAGTCTCTTATGGCAATAAAAAAAGAAAACCAATCAGATGTGAGGGCCATTTTTTAGCTTACCTGCACTTGTTCTGTAGAACTACTACTGAGCTCATCTCCAGACTCTGAATCTTGGTGAATTTTTTCTGAGCCTTCTCCTGCTGAATCACAAGATTGTTCATGCAAAAAGCTGGTCTTCTCTATTTCCAAGAACTCCGGGCATGGGAAATGACCCATGGAAATGGTTCTAAACTGATTAGAAACCTTGGGAGATTGCAACTCATTGTTAAGTTTTCCATTGTTGTGGGTAAGGTCCAGACTCAAACCAAAAGTTTGACAGGGGCTATTGTTCGGTCCCAGATTTTGATTGGCATCTCGAACTAAGCAAGAAACTTGAACTGGAGAAGATTTTCCAAAACTAGAAAGCTCTGGTGACTTATTCACATTTTCTGTTGATCTCTGTAATCCATGTGTCAACTTCAAGGTGTTATTTGGCAACATGCTTGCCTGCTTCACAGGTGGCATCAGTGCTTTCCGGGGTATTTCCTTCACATATTGAGCTGGCACATAAAAGGGTTTGGAATTTTCGTCTCTTTTGACTTGCCACCAATCATCATTAGTCTTTTTCACTAAGATGTATTTCTCCCCTTGCTTGATCACAATTTTCTTGTCCTTGGCCTCATACTCATAGTCGTACTCCACTTGAATGTAAAACTGTCCTGGAAGCATCTTCCCACCCTTATCAGCCATTTCTATCTGAAAAGAATTCACCTTTTCAGACAAAAGGTAAGCGACATTCTGTTTCAGTGTTATCTTCCTGTTAATGTTCAGAGCTGTAAGAAAAAAAAAAAGTATATGTAATCAAGTGGCTGTTTAAGAGCACTTTGGATAAAAATAATTTTCAAAAAATCCTGCCTACTTAGACTAATTGATGGAAACATGCAGTATTTTCAGATATCCTTCTGAGTGTTGAAATAGAAAATCAGTAGAACAACTTAGGTCACTGATTGAGCTGTCCTATTCACACAAGCCTCCTGCTATCAAGTGGCTCATTAGCTTCATTAATTAATTAGTTATTGTTTCTATTACTGATTAACATTGATTGATCATTGGGGATTTGGTGAGGGGGCTGATTGACTCAATCTCTTCCTTACATAGAAGCTTAATTTCTCAAATAAACTGTTAATACACTAATTTTAATCAAAATATTCCAAAGAACACTTATTTACCTCACAGAAAACCTGATCTAACCAAATGTTTAAGGGCCAGATCTTAAAATGCAAACAAAGACCTCAACAGTGTCCAACAGGACTATGAACCAAAATGGGTAATGAAATAATGAATAATACATGAAAATTCCAAAAGGTACTTTTCAGCATCTTTATAATCCAGACAACTGCCACTGCATCCACACCCAAGAACAAATTCTCTCTATTTAATCATGTAGCATCAATGTCCAAATTCATGGGTGGGTAAGCATTAGTCTTGCCAACTTGCACTGAACACAACATTGTAAATTAACATGGTAGGAATTTTAACCTTAAAAATCAAAGCATGTAAGATCTCCATCATTCACACAGAAAGTAGGAGAATTCAAGTAAAATGCTGCCATATTTAATCTTATGAAAATTAACAAACACATATTTTTACTTTTAAATGCACACTTCACGAATGCGAAAAGTTATGTAGAAACTTGCAGCTCTGCAAGTTAAGACTTTCTGATGAGATTTGTAGCCTTCACCCTGCCACTGAGTGGAACTAATGCAATTCCATGCAGGCACACACATGCAGAGTGAACTCAGCTGCTAAATGGGACCAAGGACAGAAATAACAACAGAAAAGAACTTCTGGGGGGATCTAAAGCAAGAACCGCTAAGGATCATTCAATTTTCTTTTGCCATTTCTGTTATTTGATCTGAGCCTTGAAAAAATACATTTGGCTCATAACTCGGAGACAAAGTAGAAGGTAAAAAGCTAAAGTATTACACCAAGACAGAAGTGCCCATCTTTAATCTGTGTCTCTCTCCCACAGACCATCCTCTTTTACTTCCAAGAAGCATTTCCTACAGGTAACCAGGAAGCCACCACCATTTTCAAGGCTCCAAACAGAATCACAAAGTCAGATTTACAATTTTATTAAAGACTTGACAGAAGGAATGATGGTACCACATTCAACAGAGCTGACAATAGGAACACAAAGCAGTAGAAAAGAATGTCAGGATTCTGGTGTTTACTCTCTACCATAAAATGGTATGTTGACTTTCAAAGTCTATTTACAGCCTTGGTACAAAACAACTTGCTTACCTGCTATTCTACATAAATAGGTGTTTTTAAGTGCAGCTCTGCAGTTGTTTAGCAACAGCAGCAGAAGGTAAACATGAAAAAATTGCAGCCATTCCCATTCTCTTCCTAGTTTTGGAAGCTCTGCCATGCAAAGACTATTTTTTTCTTCTTAGCAAACCTGACTCCTTCCAACAACTCTTCAAAGCTGCTATCAACCCCTTTCACAGTTTCCAGGTCAGACACCAGGAAAATGCAAGCCTTACCAAGCTGCAGTCTACCTCAAAGCTCTGTTACCTCAAAAAGCTGAGCCATAGGACAAGGATCCATTCAAAATCTCTTTCTCCCACACAGAAACCAAAGAGAGAACATAAGCCTCTGGTTTCCCACAGGACTAACAAATGTTTAAAAGCTTGGATTTTTCATTCCTTTTTTGCCAGTTCCATATGACTACTTATTGAGAATGCATGCTTAACATCTTTTCAAGACAGAAAGGTCCAACAGGTTGCATGTTATGCTTAAAAAGCCCCAAAATTTTGAATAATACAAGTTAAATAAAACAGAACCGCTACAAAAATAGCTCTACCCACTTTTGAAGTCAGTTTTGCAGCATAATCCCTCTCCAAAAAATAACAACAAAAAAGAAACAACAAAAATAAGCAGCACAATTTTTGGTCTTTCATCCAAGCTGCAAAATTATCAAGTCAATAGCAAACATTTGGTAATGTTGAACATATGATTAAAGAGAGACAGGCTGTGTTCAGCCAGAATACTAAAACAGTTTTACAAACAGATCACATCATCAGGAACGAGCAAGGGTCTGATTCTCCTCCTCAACTCAAAAAAACAAGAAATACGTATGGTATAGGTGGGAAATTAACCCTGAAGATCAGCAAACAACTACCATGGCCTTGATTTCACAAATTCAAATGCATTAATTTTTGTTTTGCTTTAATTTTTTTATGCAGCTCTTGTGTCACAAAAGGCAGACTGCCTGTACTCTCTGTGCAGCCCAGGGGACAGCTAACTGTAATGCCCTTTCATGAAGCTGTCTCATAGAACACAGTTTAAAGAGCCACAGGAGCCTTGGTCAAAGCTCTGCTGCAAGGGGCTCACAGCAATGCAGGTGTGAATGCACCATATTGACACCTGGAGCACTGACTTCACTGTGCTACGGTCAACAGCTGAAGTGATAGGGCTGGTCAGTCCTTGTAACCTCACAGTATTTTTTACTCCTTACCATTTACCTGTCATGCTCGATGGCATCCACATTGGTAAAGAAGGTTGAACTACTCTAATTAGAGGATGATAAAACCATTTATTTCCACAGAAAACATGTGTAAGCTTTCATACCTTAATACCTTAAATAAAGTCTCAGTATCTGATTGAGAAATTAATAACAAATGGCCTCACTAAGAAAATCTATGTTCGTGAACACAAAACGAGACTCAGACCTCGCTTTTCTCCTAGAGAAGAAAACCCCAGTCGCTACTGGCAAGTGATCTAAGGTGGGTCACATCTCCACTTGGACACACAAACCACCATTCCATGGAGCATTCCCGCTGTCCCACGGGAGCACCGGGGAGCCGGCACCGGGTGCGGCAGCGGTGCGAGAGAGGCGAGCAGGGCTTTCACTCTGCACCGGGCCAGAGCGATCCCTTCGGACTCCGGCTGCGATGGAACCGTTCCCATCTCTTACTCAGCTAAGGCTGACTAAGGCTGGCAAGCCTGGGTGCTCGCAGAGGTCAGCTCCTCCCTCCCCCCAGCCCTCCGCCCGCGGGCGCGCCCCTGCCCGGGCCGGCCCTGCCCCATCGGCTCCGCTGCTCCCGGCACCGGGCCGGCCCTGCCCGCTCCGCACTCGGGGCTCCAGGGAACTCTCCCCACAAGCGGGTGCACACGCGGCACCAGGGGTTCGGCATGCCAACACTTGCATCTAGCTACGTTTTTATGTGCGTCCCCACAAAACGAGAGCGTTTTTATCTAGACCCGATGTGACAGCCGCAATCACCCTCAGGCAGGCAGGGTTCGGAGAGCTGTAGGTCCGCCCAGAGCTCAGCCTCTCCTGGAGCATCCTTAGCCCTGTAGCTGCACCCTCACCTCCTTACAGCACCCAGTCTTAGCTACAGAATGATGCTCCCTCGATTGATCCTGAAGTCCATGCAAACGCTTGAAAGAAGCACGGTCCTAAGACACAGAATGATAAATATGATCATATGTGATGCACATACAGTATGCTCATGTATCATATGAGACATGATCACCCCTACTTTCAGCACTATCCTAGAATTCAAGACTCACCCCCACCCTCTCTTTTGAAATTATCAGGCACAGGCATTTGCCTCTCATCTTCCAGAACCAGATAACTGAGTCTTGGGAAATAAAAAAAAAATAGTGAAAAAGTATTTTAGGTTATTTTCCTCTAGAGGGGAAAAAAAAAAAAAAAAAAACAAAAACAAAAACACCCTACTGGGGACAGGGAATTGTTACTTACTTTCCAATACAAGCAGATGATAAATTGTTAAAAATGCTACAGAGTACCAACAGATCGCCTGAAATTTCTTTGTGTGACCTTGTTCACAGTGTCCTACAAAGCAGCAGCAGTTGACTTGTGTAATCTTCTTCCATTTTCAGCATCAAACTTCACCCACTACTGAAATGAACCCTTCCACAGTGCTGATACAGAAATAAACTCAATTATGAAGGCTAAATTAAGATAAATTCTTAACAGTTCAGGCCAGACGAGATACCCTGGCTACACCTCAAGAGATTCCATGATTCTGCTTCTCCCTGAGCAGTTTTCTTAGGGGTTCAGGCTGTATCTGCATGACCACTGCCTGGGAGACTGGTCCCTTGTCAGACTTCAACCCCATTCATACCTTTCCTGCCAAGGGGCACCACTGCTTGTCCAGCACACCAGACTCCTCAGCCAGTGTTTTCCTGCAGACCAGTCCTCACCAGCGCCTGCAAGAGCCACCCTCTGCAAAGCACGCATTGAGAGCATGCAAAAGTTGCATCCAAATAGAGGCAAATGGAAATGACAGATATAACCAGAACACAGACAACTTACAAGCTGTATGAAAACAACCTCAGCCCTTCACTCTTTCCTCAAACACACTTCGAAATCCAGCACTACTCGCAAGTAAACTACCTACCCGGAGCTCACCCGTCTTTAAACGCTAGAGGCATAATAAGCAACCATTTAATAATTGCCCGTGACTCAGAGCACTGAATAAGCGATGCATTTTAAACAAGTGTCAGGACAACTTTTCAGCGCCGCTGCAGCCCGCGCCCCCCTCCCCCCGCTCGCTCGCTCTCTCTCTGCCAGCCCCGCTCGCTCCTCGGTGCGGGCTTTTGTTAAGTTGTTGACTGCGAGGGCTGGCTATAAATAGCGCGGCACGGCCGCCCCGACCAGCCCGGCCCAGCCACCCCAAGTTACCGCGCTCAAGTTCACGCAAGGGCGGCAGATCCCCCCGGCCCGGCGGGCGCGCCCGGGAAGGGCGGCGGGGCCGCCGCTGCCTCCCTTTGTCTCCCGCAGGTGAGCGGGCGCCGCTCGCACACGGCAGCGCGGGCGGCCCGGCCCCGCCGCCCNGGTGGGGCGGGGGCGGTGCCCGGGACCGCCCGGCCCCCGGTGGGAAATCGGCGATCGCACCGGCCGGCCCGGCCGTCCTGCTGCCCGCCTCGCCCTGCGCTGCTGCAGGGCTCCGGGGCGGCTGCTGGAGCCGCGCCAGCAGCGCCCAAATGATGCGCTGTGTGAAATACCCGCGCCTTTCTGTCCCTGCTGAGACGAAGAGAGGGAAAACAAAAACCATGCACCTTCCTCCATGCAAACAGGGGTCGGTCTAATGCTTAATAGACGATACCTGAAGAAACCACATTTTTTAAATAGTTGTCCAAAGAGAAATAAGAAATAGTCCTTGACATTTATTTCGAGTTAACTCGCTTGGTGTCTCTTACTATATTAAATAAAGTTTTCAAACATTGTTTTAAAATGTTTAGGTGGCCTTCATAGCATTTTCAAATTGTGGGTAATCTTATCATTCTCTTTGAAAAAGCAGTATCTAGTTCTCCTGGTTGCAAAGATAACCTTGAAAGCATGAACTGACTGTAACTGATACAGCGGTATCTGAATGAATCTGCAAACAGCCCGAAACAATGGCATGGAGATGTGTAAACTGTCTGCACTCTATTAATCTCATGGAGGGTAATGCTGGTCTAGCTTCTTCTTTGACTATTTTAACACACGGAAGGAGGAAGGAGACAGTAAAACCATCAAAGGGTGGAAAGATCAGGTTTGCTGAGGGGAGTACAAGCAATGGGAAAAGACCTGAGAAGTGCCAGTAAGAGACAGAAACAGACTTTGAGGAAAAGATGAAATCAGCATCAATACGTTTAATTGAAGGTGTGAACACATTTTCATATGGAATTGCAGTCTATCTTGAACTTTCAATATTGATAGTTCCTTGAAATCTCATGCATGTTATGCAACAAACTTGCAAGACAAGTAGAAAACACTGCATACACCTTAAAGCTTCTTCTTCTCAAGCCTGAATACTGGTGACAATGTCCCCTTGACACCAAGGATCATTTGGCTTTGGGCTCTCTGTTCACAAAACTTAATTATTAAAATTCTGTTGATGTTGTAAGACCGATAACACTGTCACACTGCATTCAGCAGTTATTCACAGGGTCTGGAAAAAACAGACTAGACACCAGCATTTCTGTTGTAAGGGAAAGAACATCTTGTATATAGATGTCCATTATTTACCTTTAAAAGGCAAAAGAAATGTGTAAAAGGACAGTAGTTTTTTTTATGCATGCTCACTCTTTTGTAAATTACATATACGTGAAAAAGATATAGAGTAATTCTTGGATGTGGTACAAAATAATGTACTTGGGTACTTCTGAACAAGCTGACTGCATTTTACCTGCTGACATGCCTGAGGTGTATATAAAAGCATCCCAAAAATCAGTCACAGTAACCACATGGTAATTATCCTTCCTTACTGCCAAGGCTTCACTGGAGTGCTGCAGGATATGGCATTAGTGATTCAGTCTGACACACTCTTCCCTCTGAGTCAGGGTTGAACCAATGGTCCCACATAAGATCAACAGGCATAATAGAGCTGAAGGTGCCAGAAGATATGTAATTTTGAGTCCCTGCCCAAGTGCAGTCATGAAAGATTCCACATTACAAATAAACTGTCCAGCCCAAGTTCCAATTTTAGTATCTGTTGCGTATTCTGCCTATGAAGGATTTCTCTGCCATTTCACTGGAGCAGAAAGAGCTAAAGTTCACAACCTTTTCTCACTGTGACTTGTTTTTCCCAGCGATGTAGGAATGCTGCCATACTCATACCTCAGATGGGACTGCATGTATGTATTAGCTGGAAACATCCAGTACATGTACTGACCTCACAAATCCCAGATTGAAAGAACTGCCAACTATAATTGCTTTATGTACTACATGCAAGCTATGGTAGAGAGTTCAGGACTCAATTCATGTATCTATTTTGTTCTGACTGTTCTGTGTCATACCTTGCACACAACAACATCAATCTCTCTCTTTGTAAACTGATTCCTTATGAAACATCAGTGTTTGAAGTGTCTATCTGTTCTATTATGCCAAACCTTCAAAACCTTTGTCCAAATTTAGCTGTGTTTGCCAAAAGGGAGTTCCCTTAAAGGTGGTTAAGCTCCCACAAGGTCTGTGGAAGCGGTCAGCCACATAGAGGTGGAGAAGAATCCACATAAGAAAGTGACATTATAAATGCTGCAACTGTGGAAAGAAAAAAGGTGATAGTTACTATCTGTGATAAAACACAAATCCATAGAAAACAAGCTTCACAGTTCTGAAAATCCAGTCTTGAAAAATTCCATTTCTGGTGCTTGAATTAGACACAGAATTCTTGCTCTCACTTCCCAGATTTAGAGTTCTCAAGTACTAGTGTTATATGTATAAAAAGCTGAGCATATTAATTTTGAAGGTGAAATTGCCATATTTTTTTGTTCTATTTTTTTTTTCTTCTGAGTCTATATCAAATCTCTGCAAGTTCAGCTGTGCATTATTTTATGTCTCAGTCACAGTAATTCTAGATGTGTGTCATGTTTTAATTAATTAGAAATGCGTATCTGAGAGTGGCTGCTGCCATCCTGTTACTCACAGTGCCAGAACTGGTGTTAGGTAACCAGCAGAAATGTGCTGCTGAAAACGTGATTGGTGTTAAATCTGGGTTGTTTATTCATTGTTTGCCACCCCTCCTTACCAAACATAATCTCATTATGAACTGTGTTGATTCTTTCTTTCGGAAATGACCAAGAAGGCAAATACAAAAAGCTTTGTCACTTCTAACAGGCAGATACTGCAAATATCCACCTTGCTCATTTTGCTGTTTCCTCAAGTCTTCACTCCTTTTTAGAGACCTTTTCTCTTTTTGGTCTTATAACCTTAACAGTGATATGCTCTAGAGAAACCATCCTGAATTTAGACAAATGCACTTATTTCAACAAATATTCTTTTATATAAATAGAATATATATTTATTTTACTTTTAATCCTATTTTCAAATGCATTTTATACAATGGCTCAGCTTGCTTGATCTAAAACACATTACCTGGGGCATCTCCTGTGTACTCTGCTCCTACTCTCAGTTTTTTGACAGCTTCCAGCCTCTCACCTCTATCTAAAAATACTCTTACCACCTACACATAGACATACAATCAATTCCTTCTTTCTGCTCTTTCTCTGTACTACAAAAGCACTTTTTCACAAAGTGCAGATGCTGTGGGCTTTTTGCATGAACTTGTCAATTTACTCCCCATCTCCTGACTCAACTAATAGATGAGCCATTTTTATTTATATAACTGTGCATTATAAGGAAAATCAATTTAAAAGGGAACAACTAAAGTAAAGACTATAGAAAAAGGAACCCAGATTTCTCACAAGTTCAGTAAAGAACTTCTTTCACCATGACACTACAATGGAATTTTCTGCCTTAAGGAGGAACTTTTATCCACAGTTCAGAGAGGATGATTTGTTGTGAAAAATCAGCAAGGAATTTGTAATTTTTTTTCCATTTTTGCCAGCAGATTATTTTTGCAAATTGTATTAGGCAGAGTGGACAGTGGCCAACACATGCTTTTTCACTCTGCTCTGTTTGTTAGCCACATCACCATTGTGATCTTCAATATTCACAATTCTCTCGGAGCATCCAGTGGAAGCTGTAACAAAAATTCAAACATAGCTATTGTTTGCATTTGCAGTCTCAATTTGCAAGTGAAGGACATTTTTTTGCAGCTATCTGATTGTCAGCCTTATTAAAGAACAAAGTGAGATTTGTTTTGGTCAAACAGATCTTTTGATTCTGCTCTTGCCAAGAGCTGTTTCCCTACTTACCTGCATAGTTAAACTGTTTATCAACTTTCTCTTATCGAGCACAGTATTCCAAACTGTACCACTTCTGTGTAGAGCACTAAAATATACCTCTGAGCCACAGCACAGAGTTAAAAGTGGAGAAAAGTAATGAATAATTTTCTGACTGAATAGCTAAAGCCTACAGCAGATGAAGGCAGACAGTTCTTTGTGCTACCTTGACCTAAAGCTTCTGCCTAAGCTAAATCTTAGCCATCTTTGCACAGCTAGTCATGTCTTGATCTCATCATGGTTTGAGATAACAGACAATTAATCCTTCTAATAGTAATATCTATTCTTATAAACCTATAATCAAAAGTGCTCACATTCAAAGGCACAAAGTAAATGTCCATTTATACATTGGAGAATTCAGGACAGCCCCACATAAGTGTCTTTAATTTTTATGTACCTTGTATGTTTTCTAATGAAAAGGAAGTGTTGTCTACCAACCACTGATAAGCAGAATCTAAATAATACATAGCTTTGCAAGAAGAATAAATAAAACTTAGTGTGATAAATGTTTTAATGATGTTGAAGTATATTTTATTATTCTGCACCAAATTC